GCTCAACTACATGAACATTGGGACTGTCTACATTCTCAACACTAATGACAATAGAATCAACTAAATATGTATCCTCAATATCCTTGGTTGACTCTAGTATCTCTTCTACAACATCGACATCCTCAAAATCTAGTGCGATTGATTGTTGGTGTTCTACTCTAGCCTCCTCCTTTAGCTCATCCTCATATTTTTTTAAATCCTCCAGTAATATGGCAATTTCTACAGCCCTTTCTTGCTCATATTGGCTACTATCCACAATGTCAACTTGTTGTGCTTTACCAGGTTCAATTAATTTATTCGCTTGAGCCTCCAAGTTGTGAATAGTTGCCCCTTGCCTTTGTACCCGCAGTTGTATCTCATCATATTGTTTCGTAAGGCACTTTAGCATATCCTCGATCTCTTTCAGGTCCTCATACCTGGGTTCTTTGCTCCTATTAACTTCACCAAAAAAAGAAGAACCATCAAAGTAAGGGGTTGGGGGAAGGTAAGAAATATAAGCACAACCGTGAAAGTGACCATCTTGACCACCACACATATCGCACACATTCCACACATAAGATTGAGTTGGTGCACAAAACTCGCTCTCGGAAATATTTTGATAATTTTGCCCTGAGTGGTTTTCTTCACAATATGCATAAGGAGGATTAAAAGTAGAATTACCAACATCTAAATTCTTATAATTACATGATGTCATGTTTCTCAAATAAACAAATAAAACTAAAATAAAGATTACGAAAAGATAAAACAAACTAAAAGTTCAAACTTGAACCCTAGCAATATATACAGCTACAACTACACCGTTAGTTCCCCAGCAATGGCGCCAAAATTTGATCACGCCCAACTATGCCTTATAAAAAGGACAATGCGGTCGCTGCAAATATAATCCGGTTTACAAGTCCGGAGTCGAATCCCACAGAGAACTGAGGTTTAGCTACAGCTGTTCACTATCACCAAGAAGACAAGCTTGAACAATTCCTAACTTATAGATATTAAGATTCTTCTGTTTAACTAATTAACTAACAAATTAAAATAGTAAATTAACAATTAACGATACTGAGGGTTAGAGAAAAGATTAAGGAGGTCTAGAGTTATGATTTTCCCAATTGTCGGAATCCTTCCCGCTATGTCTTCTATAATTTCGCCTAAGTATTATCTACCGATCATGAGCACTCTTATTACCGTAAATCTCTCCCGAGTAATTACGACAATTTACTAGACGCACTCTCCCGAGCTACGCTAGCTGGCTTTTAATACAGCTCACTTCAGATCGCACCCAAGGCTTCGTTATCCCTAATCCCACCTTTAAACCCTCGGTTATTGATCCCTCATATACTCTGGGAGTGGTGTTGTTCAACAATTACCTAAATATGCACTCTCTCCCGAGTTATGCATACTAAATAGGCACAGCTAATTGAGAGCTCTTCAATCAACCAGAATATAAACGTAGTTGAACAAATAGAGAAAAGCTATGGCTCAATTATATAAAAACATAACAAGAATTTATCCTACAAAAGGTTCTATCAAAACTCTAGATAACAAATTAGCTATTCATAATAGTATGTAAAACTACAATACTAAAAGTCATAACCAACAATGAAAAATAGGAAGAGGAAGGAAAAACTCGTAGAAGAATTCTCCGCCTTGCTCCCAATGTGTTCTTGAAGTTTTGACAAACTAGGATGTCCCAATCGTTTATGTAATAAATCTGGGGAATCAGTAACGGGACAAGTTATTGAAGGAAGACAAGATGCGAGTCCATGTGATTTTGCAAGGATAAGGTAATAAAGTCCATCTGATTTACATCCGGTACCGATGATCCGCCCCGTGCTGCATTCCTGTATAAAAACAAGGTCATCAAGAAATAAAAGAGTAGATTTAAGTGATTTGGCTAAGCGACTAACGGCTATGATATTAAAAGGACTACCGGGAACATAAAGAACTGAGTCTAAAGGTAAGGAAGGAAGTGGACTTGCTTGACCTATTGCAGTTTCCATGGCTTGAGACCCATTGGCCATTGTGACTGTTGGAAGAGATTGAGAATATGAAATACTAGTGAAAAGAGATTTGATACCAGAAATATGATCAGATGCACCTGAATCAATGAACCAAGACTCAGCGGTTGAAGATTAGGAGACACAAGTCACGCTACTATCTGTTGGAACAACGAAGGCTAATCCTGGAGATGTTTGTTTACGTGTTTTGTACTGAAGGAACTCAATATAATCCGGTAACGAAACCATCCGGATTGGATCCAATGGATTGTGAGTAAAAGGCTTCTGATACGAATGCCATTATAATGTTGCGCCGGAGAATATAAAAGTGGTCGGAATTTGATTTAAACTTGAATGAAAAGACTCGGAATAACCTCCTGAGTAAGCTGTCCAAAAAAGTTTGTCGGAAAAAATCACTGTAGCTGCCGAAAAGTCAGTGTAGTTGCCGGAAAATCTCAAAGTGATCGGAATAAAAAGAAAAAGGTATGGGTAGGCTCGAAATTGCTGTGCGACTAGGCTGTCCTGAAGAAGCTCGGCCAAAAAATGGCCGGAAGAAGCCTCACGCGCCAGCGCAGACTTGCCGAAAAATATTTTCCCGGCGGCGTGTGAGGGCGCGTGGGAGGGGGTCTGCCAGAGAAATTTTTACGGGTTGGTCGCCGGAAGCTAATCTACCTCATGGTGGTGTTGGTTTTTGCACAACACCGATGGAAATTGTTTTTTTTTTTCCGAAAAACAGCCCTAAAAGGTCGGAATTGAAGAACGGCGACTGTTTTGGGTGGGTTTTCTTTCCCGGATGTTTTCTCACTGCTGCTCTGATACCATGTGAGAAATATGACACGGGTATATGTATATATAACACATAACCTACTCCTATTACATAATGGGCTAGAACTAATTACATACATTCACATAACTATTCTAACAGTATATAAGGTGATACGCCCTTCGTCTAAAAGTTGTCTTATTTCTCTTCTCTTGAACCAAAGTCTAATTTTGGTGATCAGTTACTTCTGCTCTGCTTACTGAAGCTTGCGCAGATGCACGGTCCATTTCTGGTGGTCAAGAAACATGCAAAGGTCTGACGTATTGTTTTCACTATGTACTCATTCCGACTAATGTGATTGGCTTATTATTACTGGTTCTGATGCAACTAAGTATTCATGCCTTTGCAGATGAAGGGGAGATGACTCAATCTGAACATACCTCTCCATGGTCCATAGGTGCTGAAAAGGTAATGCATCTCCAATTTCACGGGACGTGCAAAAGCTCACTTTAAATGAGAAAGTCTTCTTCGGTGAAATCATTGTGCCATTTGCCTAGAGAAACTATACCATCAGCTGCAATGACACCATCTTGTATCCCTACAGTCTCGAATGCAAATTTTAGCGCGAGGAAGATTGCCGAAACCGAAAGTTACAAATCCATTCCGGTCTTCTCCATGGGTACTGTTGTGCTTCCTATTGATGAAGATAAGTGGTTTGCTGTGCAGCTTGGAGTTTCCCAATGAGAAGTATAGCTAATCATGCATTACAGTAGAGGCATGTTACTTATATCGTGTCTTAAGAAGAGGCTAAAACGAATCAAGGATAATTATAGCTACCATCTGTTTAAAGCATTTTTGTATTTTAGTTTCTGGAACATTAAAGTGTTTGTGGAATGGTATTCTCTTTGTCTCTCTCTCTATGGCATGTGCAGTTTAGTATTAACGAGTTTCCAATTATAGAAAGGTGCACTCTTTTTGGAACATTGTAAAGGAAAGAGTGACATAAGCTCTCGTTATGCGCGGGGTCCGAGGAAGGCCGGACCACAATGGCCTATTGTATGCAACCTTACTCAGCATTTCTGCTAGAGGCTGTTTCCACGGCTCGAACCCGTGACCTCTTGGTCACATGGCAACAACTTTACCAGTTACGCCAAAGCTCCCATCCGGCTAAATGAATACTATATACGCAGTTCAACACATGTAAGAGTGTATCATATGAACGGCCTGTTGATATGAACATTGGACACAATGAGATGATATTTATGAGTGGTTACATGTATATCTATTGCTTTCCATATACAGAGGCGGCTCAACATTGTTGGTGGCCTAAATCAAAATTTAATGAGAGGTCTTAATTTTTTTTTTTAAAGAAATTATATATTTTTATTTGAAGTACATTTTTTAAACTTTTTTAGATGTAAAATTATTAATAATTTTCTTATAATCGAGTTATCCTAATAATTCTTTTTTCAACTGATAATACTGCTTATCTGACCAGTTAGCTTCTCACGAGACATTGTTGATCCTATAAAAGATTTTATTAATTTTAATTTGGAAAAATTTCTTTCCCCAATGCAATTGTTATAGTATATTTTATTCTATAAGGAATATAAACATTGAAAAAAAATCAAGTCTTGTTATCTTATTAATTATGTCGATTAGAGTTTTATCTTCTACTTGTAATATTTTTTTAATGCTATATAATTTGAAAAATAAGCCTAAACTATCATGCCAGAGTGGCTATTATGTTTTAATCAAGGCTAAGTCAATATTTTTTTTTCCAGATTTTTATCAACTAGTAATCTCAATTTTTACCCACTAAACAAAAAATTAAAAATATTTGTGTACACTTCAGCTTATTCAAACTCAAGGGTCCATATCAATAACAAATTAAAATTTTCTTTTCCTTTTTGTAAGTTTTTTATTTTTTATTTTAACTTTAAGATAATCAATTTTTTATATAAAAAATTAATTTGTAAAATATCGTCAATTGAAAATGGGGCCCCCAAAATTTGGGAGCCTAAAGCCACTGCTTGGGTTGCTTTACCCTTCGGCCGGCGTTGTCCATATATATATGTCTCGCATTTATAATATATGTTATACCTTGTTCATAGCATGCATGGTATTTTCATAGACTTGCTTCACGAGGTATGAAAGAGGGGTTGGGCCTAGGCTCACCCTTCTTGTTGTTTCTGCCTCGTCCATATTCTACTTCTACGCATAGCTTATGAACAACCACATTTAGATCATGGTGAAACCAAAATAAGTAGTGCATGACAACATTTCATGCTAAACGTGCATTCAACACAAAAATATAGACCAAGGAAATAAAGGTTTCTAATTTCCTTCCCCAGAAAGTGAAAAAATGAGGAATCTACACTAATCCTGCAAATCTAAATTAAGATACAACATTACAACAGAACTGACAACTAAGTTAACACAGAAAGGATGAGTTGTCGCGAACATTCGCGACAACAACTATACCTCCGTCCCAAATAAATTGGAGTCGGCCATAAATCTTTACTGACCATATTCCTCCATTCAATGCTTACATTGAGATCTCATGGAGTCAGTCAGAAAAATTCGAGTGATTGAAAAGCCTCATCGATTAATTGTTTCTCTTTTACTGCATAAATCTTCCAAGGGAAATATGTACACCTAAGGCAGATATCCAGCAACAACAAAGCGTTGCTAATTTTCCACCACCGAAAAAGAATCAGAATTTATCTTTATGCCTTTGCCATAAGCAGCAATGAGAAGAGCCTCAGCTCGACCTGAAAGGTTAAGAAAGAATCATGAAATAATATGTAAATGGTGCATGGAAAAATATAAAAGCTGCTAGGACATTAGCAGATAAGATCTTGATGCAACATCTGGAAGTTAAGGGTATGAATATTGATTTAGAGGCGAAACATGATCAAGGACTGTATTTACTTGATGCAAATTCTGAAATTTCACCAACTTGGAGTGTTGGGAAATGAGTTTCCAACTTAGTGTTTAAGGCCAAAACTACAAATTGTAAGAAAAAGTAAAGAGGGTACCAGAAGCAAAAAAAAAGAGGAGACAAACTTATAAACAAAAGGAGCAAGAATGACATATTTACATTTCGTATAATATCGCTTTGTTTAAATTTCTTTTAATAACCAAGAAATCCTCGAGGACCAACGGCGCACAGTACGAAACTCGATGGATAATGGATCTCGTTCCTCTAACTTTCTCCTCTTAAATACCAAGCTTTTGTCTACATCAAGGTTTAAACCTGTATAGTGCACCTAACCAACACATCGCCATGCAACACTAGACCAGGCGATCGCACTGTATAGTTGTTTAGGATCAATGCAAAGTTAACTCATTTACAATAGCCAAGGAATACAAAGTCACTATTACTAGGTTATATTAAAATGTGAAATCCTGAGTTATCTTACAGCTAGAAAAGAGCAAGGACATTTATAGCAAGGTATCTTAGAAAAGTTACAAGGGCTATCAAATCCTTTATACCCTCTTTCTTGATAGATGAATTGTCTGCTCAAATGATCCCTTTTGATTGTCGAGTTACAAAAAGCGGTAAAAAATAAGAAGCCATAGGTCCTTTTATAGAAATATAAAATGTTTAGGAGATTGGGCTAGTATACCAACCATGATCTTTCTTCCTTTTCAATAGAGAACTCAAAGAGGGAAACAATTCAGATGCAACTTCCCTGCTGTAATCCTGCCAAGACATTTAAGTGGATGACAAATATTAGATGATGACTCCAGGAAATTTTGGAGATGCTGCAATTTTTGCAAGAAATTCTTTTTTTCTTTTTTTTGAGAGAAAAAAAAAAAATCATTTTTACAAATTTGCAAGAGCCTCTCTACCTTCTCAGGGGTAAGGTCTGCGCACGCACTATCCTCCCCATACCTCATTTGTGGGATTATACTGGATTCGTTGTTGTAGTACAAATTTGCAAGAGCAAAAAAGAGCAAAGCAAAAAATCTAACTATATGGACTTTTTAGTTCATGAAAGTGCAAAAGCAAAAGGCTTGAATAATAAAAGTAAACCCAATCTAGAGGATAGTTATTTTGTTTTCCATAACTAATCTAGAGGATAGCATGTTTTTATGTTCAACTAAGTGGAGGAACTATAAACGAACCTTCTTTGAGCGTTCTTTTGTAAGTTGAAACTCACTCTTCCATGCACTTGATGGCACTGGAATGACGGAGAATCCCGAAGCAATTAAGATCCCGATCCACATGCCATAGCCGAATCCTCCACTCCACCATCCCTTGATAGTGCAAAAATATATTGATAAGTGATAAAGAAACAAAGAAGATATGCTAGAAAAGTTCTATCCACCTAAAAAGAGGTAATGTTAAATAGCATCTTAATATTTTCTGACTTTCTTGTAGTTACTTTGAGGTAATGCTATGAATATAGAGAACATATCTTGTGGTTTCTTCATCTTGATCCTCACTTTTTTTAACAAAGCAAACTGACTTTCTTTTTTGAATAAGTAAATACTTGAGTTGCTTAAATCACGTATGGGCAAAAAAATGTATGATGCCTCTACTTCCGGCAACACGACACTTTCTAACCTGCCTTTACGTACAGAAAGTCTCTAACTATGATAGCATTAGAGACATCCATCAAGAATCTATAGAGTAATACAACATTGAAATCAAAAACGAAAATTCCAAGTATTCGAGAAGCCTAAGCCCACCCGCCCATAACCATTTGTTGATAAGGGGAACAATGTGTACAAGCCTTACTAAAATTACCACCCTGAAACAACATCACAATATCTCAACCAACCACAGCTACAAGTTGAATTGTTACTTTATGAAGTTTTAATTCAGGAGATTATGGTGTTCATAAGTCTTTCCACCTCATTACCAAATAAAAGACAAACAAGTCTTCCCATCTCTTTAGCATAATAAACAAGCCAAAATAACAGATGCTAGTTGTGATGATACTACAAGCACATACTTGACTGAAACGATCTGGTGAAGCTCTGAGGGGATTGATATGCATGGCCCACTAAGTGTAGATGCATATGTTATGTGGTCCTTTAGTAATAAACACTCGCGAATTGCAGATTTATTTGATGGTGCAAGTTTTAAAGAGCAACTGGATATGAAAGTATCTATCATCATTTGAACAAAATTGATAGGCTAGTGACAGTACATACTGGCATTCTTGTTAATGATATTGCTAACCTGCTTACCATCTTGTGGATACGGAGTTGATTGTTCAACATACACAGTTGTTCCTGAAAACAAAAATGAAAAATCTCATGTGATTCTAAGTACTTATCCAAAAAATAAAAATAATAACTTTTAGAAAAAATACTTATCCTCGTGAATTAAATAATTCAACTGAATTTGATAAGACCATATTACAATTAAGCAAATAGTTGGGATTGGCTAGAAGAATCCACAATATCCATTCAGCTCCATCTTGGCCCATTTCATTCTAATACAACAGCAAGGAAATATGAGTCTCTAAATCCTCTATGTGACTCCAGGAAAGGACAGATAGCTTCTTCTCAAAACCAAGCACGCCTACCCTTCTTCAGCAGAAGTAATTATTTGAACCACAAGATAATGAGAGGATAAGGTTATGAAAGAAGACATCGTACCATATTAGCAGATCTTTTGGATTAGTTTTAACTATAAGGATATCTATCATATCCATTCAACTAGATGAATTTAAGTCTCAGCACACGGACCATTACTTTACAGAAGACAGTAGAAAACAAAAAGGACTAATTCAAACAACCTGCTCGTGCATTGAAGACTTAATGAAGAATATACTTTAGTTGCATCCAGCAAAAAATATTGACATATATGATAGTATGAAAGACGCATCAATTGACAGAAAAAATTGAAATACTAATATTTAGTTTCTTGGTGAAGGAAAAGAGGAAAAAAGAGAGCATTGTCACCTTCAACGCCAAACGAACAAACTATCACAAATATCTCGAGGAAATGGAAGAATCTACTGCACAAGTCATTGATTCCAGATAACAGAGGAAGTTAAGAACAGAGATTTGAAAGACGTCCAAGATGACAGCTTTTATTGTACCTATAGGGGCTTCAAAACTTTTAAGCAACTGAACAATAGCTTTTGCATCTAACCGCTTCCGCACCCCTTTGCCAACTAGTACTTTCAAGTGAGGAGAATCAAACACCTGGAGATTGGAATAGGAAGTCAATGACAAGTAAACTGCAGATTTAGTAAGTAAAGAAATCGGTGAACAACGTACTAACTTCTTAGAGCACAAGAAATTTTCTTTCTTTCTTTTATATTTTTTCCTTCTTTGGTTTGAAATAGATGGATATATATTTCACGACTCACTTAATTCTAATGGACATTATTCTGACAAAAACTCCAATCAGCAATTATTACTTGTTTGATTTATCCAACCCGCGCAATAAGCTACCAACCTAATGGTACTTAATTCTAGTGGACAATATTCTGACAAAAACTCCAATAAGCAATTATTAGTTTTTTCGTTTACCCAACCCGAGCAAACCCCAGGAGCATCACCATCGGTTACCCATTGCTTTTCCATCTTTAGTGATTCAAGCTACTAACCTAATGGTTAGAACTGGAGCGACTCTAATCACTAAAGCAACCCTCACTTGTCTCAGAAATTACTAGTTGCAGTTTCAGTATTTTAGCCAAGCACCTAAGCCAATGAACTTGGATACAAAGCCTGAAACGAACTATGTTACCACAGGCAGTAACAAGAAAACAGTAAAATTTGTGTATTTCTAAGAAAGGTACAACCACTGGGTATAACACTGGCTTAAAGACATCAAGGTCCATAAATGCTAGAAGAACAGACAACCCCACATGCAAATATTATCAAAGACAGTAACAAACATCTAATTTCTCCCAAAGAGCAACATGTAATATGGTAGAACTTATTAGTTATTACAGCTCTCACTTAAAGAATCAGTTAAAAGGTTCTTGAAATATGGAAAAACAAGGCAAATGAAACATCAGTACTTTTGCAAGCCTACAACTAGTAAATAAATAAAAGCTGAATTCAATTCTTAAGCTATCCATCAACAAAAAAATATTTCCAGCTTAGCCCATAGAAAGAATTAGGTCTGCACGTGAGGAGTGTGTAGCAACTATAATACAACAACTACTATTATGCCTCAACCCAAGCAAGTTTTGGTAAACCTACCTACATGAATTCTTACGTCCATGTCGCTTCATTTAAGCTCGTCTCATTTTATATCATAATCATTAGCTTTTATAGCACTAAAGGTTCTCTACATTCTCTAGTGACATATAAGTCTCCCCCACAAGACTAAAGGACTCCTAGCTAACCTTAGACCTAAAGTAACATACTAACATAAGTAAATAACTAAACTTAATCCCACTATTTGGCAGCGCATACATAAAGGGCGGTCCGGTGCACTAAGCTCCAGCTATGTGCGGGGTTCGGAGAAGGGTCGGACCACAAGGGTTTATCGTCTGCAACCTTACCCTGCATTTCTACAAGAGCTTGTTTCCACAGCTCGAACGCGTGACCTCCTGGTCATATGGCAGCAACTTTACATGTTATGCTAAGGCTCCCCATCATATACATATATCGTTATTACCATTGTGCCTTATTTCTTGTTAGGTCTACATGGGTTCCAAGAGATTATAGTTTGCGACTATCATAAAAATAAAAATAAAAATAAAAGAATTGAAGTTATGTACACCTGACAATGCAAATTTCTTTTACACTATCAGTTACTTTTAACCTGTGTGATGGTAGGTTCCTATTTTTTCCAAATTAACAATTGCTAATACTTAAAAGTAAATTTATCTCAGTAATTACCTAATAAGCAACCTGATTGTGTAATACTTTTTACTCCGTAAGTGCATGATGGTGTAAAAAACCATTACACCATCAGTGCATCCAATAACTAAAGTTACTTTTATACTTACTTGAGGAGGTTGATTTGGTTTCAAGAGAGCCAAGGCACCAGAAGTATCTGGGTCAACCCCAATAACCCAACCTGCATTATTCAAATCCTTAGTATATTGAAAAGGGCAAGACAGAGACTCCAACCAGTCCATTTTCAGCTGAGCTTCCAAAATTCCCTTACTACCCCTGGCCACTTTTGGAGCTCCATTTCTACTGGAAATAGTTGGTTCAGGAGATGGGTTTTGCTCTTCTATGACAGGGGCGTTTGTGGTAATGGCTGCTGAAGATGAAACTGAAGCAGAGAAGAGCCTCTTGAATGCTACAGAGGAGGAAGCAGTAAATCGAATTGTGGGGATGAATTTTGAAGTCATTGAGTGAACGAATTGAAGTGGTTGGGTTTGTACGAGAGTTGATTCCATGAGAAAGGAAGGCCCCAGTTCGCCGGAGAAAGTAACGCCGGCGCCGGATTTTCAAGATTGCGAGTTCTTAGTTTGGAAGAAATTTTTGTTAGTCTAATAAGTTCTTTCCTACTACTATGTAGTATTAAGAATAAAAAAGAATTGTTTGAAGTTTTTGCAAAAACCGAGTATGAAAAAAGTAATTATTTAATACAAAATTGAATAAAAAAGAGTTTTTGAAGTTGGAAAAATTAAAGAGATCCAAATTTATTTGTGTGCTATTTGAAATTATTTAATTTTGCACGTCACTACGCTTTTGATCTATTTACACCTTTTGTTATTAGAAAAATCATCTCGTATTTGTTATCTTTATTTGGAATAGGTGGATTCTAGATATCCAATTCTACTAGAAAAAATGATCGAATTCAGCCCTCAACTTTTCGTTGCGGTTAGATAAGGTGTTAATGGTTTGGTTTGAGTTGTTATTTTATAAAATTTGTATTATACTCATTTCTCGGTTATTTAATTATATATAACTAAAACTAAACTAAACCGTTCCAATCAGGTCGGTTTCTCTTCGGTATCGGTATGGTTCGGTTAATTTTCAGTATTTTTTTAAATATCATGTAAAAGTCACTAGTAGAAATAGAATGCAATAATGTACGTACTTTTATAGGACTTAGCAAAGCTATCTAGAAATTTTTACTATTTATAGGGTGCTGAATTAAGAAAACATGAAAGATAGCCAGATTATAGATCCATCAACTATTCTACAACAGCGTAAAAGAAACTAAGTAAAGACAAAAAAAAAAAAATCAAACGAGTGGAAAGATATTAATCAAGCTAGGACTCAAGAATAAAGTTTATGGAAGATTAAATATTCAAAAAGATAAATCTAAATCATACGAAAGGAAACATACTCGATACATTGTAGTTTTCTACTCATAATCCTTAGAATACCTTATGTCTTGCTAGTGAATATGCTAGAAATAATTTAGAGCCTGTTTTGAAAGCCACCAGGGAATTGGATTTGGGTGTAACTAGGTGTAATTACACAGTTTGATATGTTTGTCTAGCCAAGTAATTACTTTGTCAGCATGGAATTGGGTTTAATTGTAGAGGTGTAATTACGCTCTCCAATTTCCAAAGGGTAGGTGAGAATTGGTGGTAATTATACTGTATAATTACAAGGTTACTTTTTAATTTCTTTCCTTTTTATTTTTATTTTTATTTACTTCCTTATAAATTTTTATTTATATTATTTTATTTTATTTTTACTATTGAATTTCTTTTTAAATTTTAAAATAATTTTTTTTACATTATATCTTTTATTTCTTTACATTTACTTCTTGTGAATCCGTGTAATTGCTTGTGTTGATACTCAATGTTTTCCTATATATTTTAAATATGCACAAAAGCTTTCAAAATAGCATATATATGCATATATATGCATGCACAAGGCTTTCATTATTTTTTACATAATTTTAAGGGTTTAAATTGATTTATTTTTCACCTTTCTATCCATAAAATCCCCAATAATTATGTTTAAAATTATTGTTTTGATAATTCATTTATTTGATTTCTATACTTATGCCAAAATATGGCTAACGTAATTTTTATGTATTTTTACAATTACATTTACTATTTTTTTAAGCTAAATTGCATATAATTGCAATGTTAGCCCATTTTAAAATATAATTATATTTTATATGCATAAAATTGGCCCCTGTATTTTTAAAATGTTAATATGTATTTTAAAACATTTTGGCACCTTAAATTGTTTTCCAGATGTCACTTATTATTTATTAAAACTAAAATAGGGAAAACTGGTTATTTAAATAATAGCCAAATTTGGCTTTCAATTGTAGCCAAAATCGGACCAATTCCCAGCCCTATCTTCTAATTAAATAACCCGACCCAGACCCAATTACCCCTACCCTACCCAAGCCATTTTAAATCCTGCTGTTGATCTATTAGATCAACGGCCCTCGTTCTTCCTTTCCTTTTTAATTTTGAGAGACCACAAACCCTAAATCATTTCTTCTAAACCGCCGCCTTCAGATGCTCTCTCATCTCCACTCTTCTCTCAAACCTAACCCTAGACTCCTCCATTCACCTCCTTCTCCGGTGACTATCTCTCAAACCCCAAGCCTCCAATGGTCACTCCACCGCCTTGCTCATCATCTCTAAGGCCCTCAAGGGTCCTGGGCCATGTCGATTGGGACCTAGGGTTTCTGATTCTGTTGTTCGAGGCTTTACGATTTGTGAGGTTACAACATGTTCTTTTGATTTCTATTTGGGTTTCCTTTGAAACCCTAACTCTCTTCTGAATCTCTCAGATCCGTGTTATTTTCATGCTTTAAACCTGTTTCCTTCTATGATTTGCTTATTCTCGAGCTTTCCTCTGAAAGATCCTCTACTCTAAACCGTTTTACTTTCGTTGAAAACTAGGGTTTTTTTCGGAGTTCTTTCTACACCTGTTTTAACCGATTTCCTTATGGTTAAACCTTTTTCCCTTGTTTATTTTGACCGATTTTATGTTCCTACTACTTTTTAACTTGACCCTCTTAAAAGCCCTAATTTTTAAAAGATTTTCATTACTTCGTTTTTATGTGTGCTAGCATGACTTTCTCTACCTCTTTTCTGTGTGTTAGTATGATTTTCTCTACTCCATTTCTGTGTGTTAGCCTGTTTACCTGATTCTTGTTAATCTCTTGTGGTCCCCCATGCTTCGAATATGTTCTGCTGAATCTTTAGCCCACTTATATCATCCCTATATGATTGTGTTTGCTCATCCCTTGTTTCTTCTTGTCTATATAACTGAGCGTGTTTGTTTGCTACTCTTGTTCATTCCTCTCTATTTATATGGTGAAATATACAGAATCATGACTCCCCATGATTGATTCTGATTTTCCTTAATTGATGATGATTGAAAGATCTTCTTTTAAAGCCCTAAAAGCTTTACCTCATCTGTTTAAATTAACTGATTTCATTACCTTATTTACCATGGTACTTTGTTTACTTAGTCTTCCCTTAATTGGGTTTTTTCTGAATTTGGTCCTAATTGACTACTCTATGCCTACTGAACCTTGACTCTTTCCTTATTTAATCATGCACTGATTCTTCTTCCTGCTTTATATGGTACTGAATCTTTCCGTTTGATTTTAATTCCCTTAACTTAAGGAAGTACTTCCTTGATTCTCCGATTGATTGATACTGAGTTCTTAAATTAGTGTACTACTATGATTTTTTACCTTATTCCACTACCTATTTTCAACTATAAATACTCTAAGTCTTTCACAAACAAGGGACCGACACTTAGCTTTCAAAAACTCCTCTCTTATAAAAATCTCTGTTTCTCTTTCTTCCTTGTGTTATTTGCTACTATTAGCCGGCTGCAAGCCAATGCTAATAATTTGTGCCCTTTGGTTCTTTCATTCTGCTTGCTTCTATCTTCACCGGTCTGTCCTAGTTTAACTTAAAGCCTCAACAACAACATGTTTCTCTTCTTGTTTCAGTTTCTTTTATTTCTAGCCTGCTTTTACTTGTGGTTCTGTTGTGAAGTTTGTAGTTAGGCTATATTATCAGCATGCTAGTATGAATCCCCTCCCTTTTTTAATTCATGTATTCCCTTGTGTGATTCAAACATGCCTGGACAATTGTTCTTCTTACTTGCTGTTTGCTTACCATTCTTATGAATCTCAAATCCCTATCCCCCTCTATGAGTCTATGTTTTTCCTGATTGGTTTGTGATTATTCCAGTTTCAACTATTTCTGAGCATGTCCAAAACCAGTCCAAATACCCTTGCTGGGGTTATGTGTTTGCAGTCAAATGCCTGTGTATTCCCAAACTCTTGGCCCCTGTGTGACTACTGAGTTTAGCTGGACTCTGTGACTACTGAAGTACTTGACTGTGTGTATCACTACAACTTTTTTTCAGACTACCTCTATTACCTTATTAACTGCTTTCATAAATAGACTTTTAAGTCCAGTCTTTAATAAATTTCTTTCAATCTGTGTCCTGCACTCCCACTTCATTCTTAGTTAATAAGTTCTGCCCCCTCTAGTATGTGTACTGCCTTGGGATCCTCTTGAGAACCCTCTGAACTCTAGCATACTGAGGCTGGCCTTTCCATACTGCACGGGTTCAATGCTAGGCTACTAAATCTAGGTGTAAGCATTGCCCGGGGTCCTTGAGACCCTTAGGGAACTTTGATGCACCTAGACTCTGATTTGTCTATGGAAATGAGGTTTGAAAGACCATTGGAGGCTTCTGGGAAATTTGGGCCTAATTGCAGGCTCTCTATAGAATAGCTTCTTGATTTTCTTTTTTTACTTATGTAATTCATTTATCGGTCTGTAATAATTTGTAAACAGAAATTTGGGGGTACTTAGTAAAAATGGGTGGGTAGATGTATACTTTGTGGGGTAACATGGGTAGAAATCCTGCTCTTAGGATCTTACTTTTAAAAATCTGTCTGCTTTACTCAATAGAAAACATGCTCATAGGGATTTACTCTTTTAAAACCTGATTGCTTTGCCTAATAGAAATCATGCCTATAGGATTTCACTATTAATGTCGTTTGCATCATAATATAAAATCATGCCTATAGGATTTCACTATTAATGTCGTTTGCATTACATAGAAATCATGCCTATAGGATTTCACTATTAATGTCGTTAGCATCATAATAGAAAATCATGCCTATAGGATTTCACTATTAATGTCGTTTGCATCATAATAGAAATCATGCCTATAAGGACTTCATTTCCAGTGTCGTTTGCATCAAACAGAAATCACGTTCTCAAGATTCTGCATTTTCGTCATGTTAGAAATCATGTTCACATGGCCTCAAACAACCGTGTCTTTAATCATTTCAAATATAGACATCATGCCTGTAGGGATTGCCATTCGCAATTACGTCTAGTAGTCTAATTAGCCTAATGAGTCAATTTCATTCTCGTCTTTTTTACTTCTTAAAACTGGCCTTATTAAGTGATGATATTTCCTGAAACTAGTTCTTTCAAATTTGGCTTAACCTTATTGGGTGTCCTGCTTACAGGTGTCAAAAAGGGTCTATTTCGAAAGCTTGTCTGTCTCTGCATTAATATATATACACAGTACTGCACATAGGCAAGACTTAGGGTATTTTTCAAAACCTGCATTTCCCTGAAGTTG